ACACTCTGGCCCAGGGGACTCCATGTGGCCACTGACAACTGGCTTTGTCATAATAAATAACTCATTAGCAAAGGACCCGCCAGAATCCAGTGTCCTATGTTTTAGGGGAATCCATGTATAGAAACAAGAAACAAGATGTTTCCTTGTGTGTTTCAAACTTGAGAAATTTTAAGCAACTTACAGTGTTTCTTTTTTTAGTTTCTCTCTCTCTCTCTCTCTCTCTCTCTCTCTCTCTCTCTCTCTCTCTCTCTTTCCAATTGTTTGACAGTCCTTGGAGACAAGGAACAAATCACACTGATCTTATGCCTTTCTTACTTGGAAGAGCCCATGGGGCTGATGGGTCTGTCTCCATGGGAACCGTCAGTAAACAGAGGTAGAGCCCAGAGTCCTCTCCAAGTGCGTGGGGCAGAGGTGCTGCTGCCTTTGGGTGTTTCCAAAATCACCTGCTCCCTGTGATGTGGCCTGCAAAGTCCCCAGGACACCATCAAAAGTCATCTGTCCTACGAGAACCGGGAGAGCACAGACATGACCAGTGACACAGTGACAGATTTGGGACAGGAGAAAGCTTAGTACTGAGGAAAGACGGCTGCCGTGAAACATGGCTTCTAGAGGAGGCGATGCCAGCGAGGGCTTCGTCGGCTCAGGAGAATGTGAGATGAGGAAGGAAGGTGAAGAGAGAGCAGCTAACACATAATCAGGACTGGGAGGAAGCAGTGGCTGCCTGTCTGTTTCCTCACAAATCCCGCTGCTCAGGTGCGGGTCAGATGATAACTACTTCTGTACTTTCTCAAGCCACAATCCCTTTGCAATCGTGTGTGTGTGTGTGTGTGTGTGTGTGTGTGTGTGTGTGTGTGTGTGAGTCCACAGTCTCTACGTTAGATGCTCTTAGCCCTTGTCTCATGTTAGTTACCTGCCGCTCTCCAAATCTGCTGGGTCCTGACCGGTGTGTGTAGGGTTTTGTGCACGCTAGGACCCGAGGAAGCCAGAGAGGGTATAGGATTCCCAGGAGCTGGAGTGGCTTAGGGGTGGTTGTGAGTCACCTGATGTGGGTGCTGGGACTTAAACTTGGGTCCCCTTCGAGAGCAGTGTATACTTGTAACTGCCAGGCCATCTCTCTAGCCCCAGACTAAGCCCCTTATATCTAACACTGAAATAAATGAAGTCCCTTTGGACTGTGGTGTTGATTCTTCCAAATCTCTAAAAGATTCCACCGAACACTCCTCAAATCGTTCACAGAGAAGGGACTGAAAAGCTCATTCGGCAAAGATAGTCCTAACCAGATAAGGCTAATACATAAACCGATTTTTCTGATGAACATAGATATAAAAATTCTCAACAAAGTGCTTGCAATTGAATTCAAGGACATATCAAAAAGATCATACACTGTGACCAAGTTCTTTTCATGTCATGGATGCAAGGTTGGTCTAACATATGCAAATTTCTTCTTTTGCAAAGTGTCTTTCTCACCCAAGACAGAGCTGGAAATATCTACCTTTGGGTTCAAATATACAGCTCTAGAAATCCCACAATGCAACTTTACCACCAGGAAGTAGCAGCATTATTATCCACCGTTAGTAACACGTGGTGAGTGAATTCATGGTTGTTTCCCATTCCCAGGTGGGATAAGGATGACAGGTTTGGAGTGGGATTACACAGGAACCAATAAGGAGCTTAGTTTCTTTTTGGAAAATTGTTTTTTATAGAATGAAAGGAGGAGCCTGTCTGGATGAAGAGGCAGGTAATGCAGCCAAGGTGTGCTGGAGGCAGGGCTGGCGCTGAGTGGGTGGGGCATGAGTGTTGGTCCACACTCCTCGAGTGTCCTCAGCATCTTGGTTCTGAACTCCTCATTCTATGTCCCCTTGTCTTCCTCGGCTGGTGTCTTTGTCTCCTGTGTGACAGAAAATAAGACACTGGATGAGTCTCGACTAGCCTGGAATTCTGTCCTCACAATGCCCCTGGAAGTTGCTCTTTTCTCTTGTCTCTGGTTGTTTGCTTACAAGTAAGTGAAGCATCTCTCACTGAAACAACGTCCCCAGCGCTCCTACTCTCACAAATGAATATAAAGTTTACATTGGAAACACCAGAAAGACAGAAATTAAAAAAAGAAGAAAATTAAAACCTGCATGTACATCTGCCACCTTTAACATCTTGTACGTTAGTTTTTGGATTTTAGTTGGAATGTGTGTTGTCTCCCATTATTCACCCATTTCTCTATCATTTCCAAATTGAAGAGATGATACACCCCTGTGCTGGATAGTTTTATGTCAACTTGACAGCAGCTAGAGTCATCTGAAAGGAGGGAACCTCGATTGAGAAAATGCCTCCGTAGGATCCAGCTGTAGGACATTTTCTTAACTAGTGATGGGTGGTGCCATTCCTGGGTTCTATAAGAAAGCAGACTAAGCAAGCCACGAGGAACAAGTCAGTAAGCAGCACCCCTCCATGGTCTTTGCATCAGCTCCTGCCTCCAGGTTCCTGCCCTGTTTGAGTTCCTGTCCCGACTCCCTCCAATGATGGACTATGACCCTGGAGTGTAAGCCAAATAAACCCTTTTCCCCTAAACTGCTTTTTGGTCATGGTATTTCATTATGGTAATAGAACCCTAAGATACTCTCTAATTTCTATTGTTTAAAAAGTTTATTTTAGTGGTGTGTGTGTGTGTGTGTGTGTGTGTGTGTGTGTGTGTGTGTGTGTGTATGTTTGTGTAGGTTTAGGGTGGAAGAGTCTAAGAATGGAGACATGTGAGAATTCTGGGTTCTTGTGAGAAAACAAGACAAGAGTCTTGTGGCCTCAGTTTCTTCAAAAACACAGAATTGCTCTTGGGATGTGTTTTCATGCTCCTCCCAGGTGGAGTAGATAGGAGTGAGTGTACTTCAGATTATTCATTATAACTGGCTGTTGTTATTTGTTTATATGCCTCTGTGGAAAACTTGTTTTTTGCCATGTATGGCATGCCCTGTTTTGGGGCACTTTACCCTCAAGTATAAATTGTTTGATGCTTTGGATAAAGTCGGCTATTGCACGAGACTTTACTCTGCCTCAGTTTTAGGCTCCACTCTCCCAAGTCCCACTACTTCTAAAATGGTAAACATACAGGTACCCATGAAGGCCAGAAGAGGGCATCAGATCATCTGGGCCTAGAATTAAAGGTGTGAGCTGCTGACATGGGTGCTGGGAACTGAAATGGACCCTCTGGAAGAGCAGCAAGCACTCTTAAATGCTGAGCCACCTCTCCAGTTCCATGGACCTAATTTCTGCTTTGGTTTGTCACTGTCCCATGTGAATTCCTTGCCCCATTGCTGAAGTCCTGGCTCTCACAAATGCTAGAAGTCTCTATTCCCTGCCTGCACCCCTGCCCTTCATTTACCCCCAGTGCTGTGGAACCATCTTTTTGTACACTATGACTATGTATTACTCTCATTGGCTAAGAAAAAGCTGATTGGTTGATAGCTGGACAGGAAGAGATTGAGCATGAGAGCCAGACTAGGGGAATTCTGGGAAGAGGAAGGACGGAGTGAGAGAGTCACCGGCAAACACAGAAAAGCAAGATGAGAATGTCCTACTGAGAAAAGATACCAAGCCACATGGCTAAACATAGATAAGAATTATGGTTTAATTTAAATGTAAGAGTTAGCTAGTAACAAGCCTGAGCTATTGGCCGAGCATTTATAATTGATATAAGCCTCTATGTGGCAATTTGAGAAGCAGATGCTGGGTATTTGAGAGTTGCTCATGGGACAGAAACCTCTGTCTATATCTCCGACTTGCAAAAACTGCTCTGCACCCTGAGCCCTGTTCTGTCAGTGGAATTAGCACCATCAAAATCTACAGCTGTTTCTCATTCCTCCTCTCATAAAACATGTAGTGACAGTTGTCACATCTGGCTGCCACCTCCTGGAAGTGCCTCTCTTAATTTTCATGGAATTTCAATATTTATTAAGTGCTAGCTCTTCATGAATCTATCTTTGATATCCTTGTTTTGAAATCTCTGGACATTTACATCTCTGCCAATTCCTCTCCCTCCTCCCTGTCCTCCCCATACTCCTTCTTTCCCTCCCCCCCTTCTGTTTTTGGTGATAGCCTTGCAGGAAGACACTCAGGACAGGCAGACCTTGAGCTCACTATGTAGCCCAGGGTACCCTTGAGCTGGGGATCTTCCTGCATCGGCCTTGCAAGTGCTGGGATTATAGATGTGGGTCACGGTGGTTGCTCCTCTGCCAATGATTCTAGCTCAAGTTCACACTCATCTCAAACCCATCGAGCTGGGTATCCCACGGGCAGCTCAAACAACGTGACCAAAGCAGAACTCAGTACTGTAAGAGGTAGTGTTAGGATCCTGAAGACAGAGAGCATCATTCCACTCAGGTTCTCCCACCAGGACCAGATCACACTGTAGATCTCTTAGTACACTGAATAGACAGGGAAGCTGTCTGTGTGCCCAGAAGGAAGCAGGAGCAGTGGGTGCTAAGCAACCAGTTTCTACCACAGCTATCTATAAAGGAGCATTGCATGGTGAAAGCTACCAACATGAGTGACTTCAGCAGAGTCCAATGATGAACAACCAGGATGACAGGGAGAGAGTTCAGGGAAGTTTGTGATGAAATTCCTAACTAGGAGATCATGCCAAGGGAAGACAGCAAAGGCAGACATTAAAAGCCGCAGAAGACAATCTGCTGATCCACGGAGCCGTCCAAAATGAGCTCAGGGAACAAACATGAGGTCACCTAGTTACATCTCCAAAGCATCCAGATGGGGCCTCTCTCAGCACGGGGCCTTCAGCACTCCTGCATCAGGACACCTGGGACAGCTTAAGGAAGACTCTGGGCATGCTTTCATTATCAGTGCCCCCTGTCTTCCATTTCAGTTGCAAGTCTGAAAATGTTTTATGTTTCTAGGTGTCTGTCATTTTCAATGATAATGTTTTTAACTTCTGTTTTGAGCCTTGGTCCTTCTCTTTACCTTTCCCTACAGTGATTCTCTCTTCCCTTTTTGACAGATGTCTTCTAGAAATCACGGTCTGAGAAGACAGAGGCAGTGAAGTACAGACGCAGCCTGGGAGCCGGTCCTTGGGGTCCTGTCCCTTGAGTCATTGGTTCTTCAGTTCCTGTGAGGTGAGGAGGGTTGCTCCCACCAGACGAATTACTGGACGGAATAACTGGAGAGCTAGTCTAACATCTGTGCATCTTACCTTACCTGCCAAACAGACGAAAACAAGCTGTTCTTGACAGCCCTCCTACGAAAATATTTCAGGGCAGATTTTAAAAAATGTTATTTTATTATTTTTTATATATATGATACACGTATGTTTGTGCCCCACTCATGTGCAGTGTCCGAGGAAGTCAGAAGATCTGGAACTGGAGTTGCAGAGTCATAAGCTACCATGTGGATGCTGGGAATTGAACGTAGGTCCTCTGGCAGAACAGTCAGTGCTCTTAACCATTGAGCCATCTCACCAGTCCCAGGAGAGATGAGTTTTGAGCAACAGATTAGATTTCTGCAAACACAAAATAATGATCTTGGGGGAAAGTACTATGCTTACTTATTTAATTTAATTTAATTTTATTTGATCCAGGCTCTTGCTATGCAGTCCAGGCTAGCTTTGAACTTGTGATCATATAGGCTCTATATTTGTTTGTTTTAAATTATGCCTACTTCTGCCACCTGCTATTTGCTCTGTCTGCTTTTCAGCTCTTTGGAAGGTAACACTCATGCAGTGATTGGGAACACTGCTCTTGAGTCAGACATCAGCAGATTCCAGCTCTGGTATTTACAGGCTCTGACACACCCTTTAAGATATTTTCATCTTGGTTTCTTCATCTATAGAATGAGGAATATGATGCACACAACCCAAAATATGGGTATAAGTTTTGATGAATTGGTTCTTATAAAACAATCTGGCCAATGACTGGCCTTGGTTGTCATTATCATCCCCATTCGAATCCCTTCGGAGACACGGAGTGTTAAACCTACTGGTTTTCTAGTTAATAGTCTGCAGTGTATAAATGTCACCAGGGCCTCTATGATCCTCCCACACTGCTCCCTTCCAGCACATTCTTTTGTTCATTCTTTAGACACCTCTGTCTGGTTTCTACTTGAGCTCACAGGATTCTTTTTGGTTTGAATTTTGTCCTGGACAAAGTTGGATGAAAGCATGCTGCTTTCCTCTTGATCTGAACAGTTTGCAGCTGACTCCGTTGATGGCTGAATGGACCTGCAACTACCCCTGCCACCTGGAGCGTCTTCGTGTGTTTCCCCAGGAAGAGGGCAGGTGTGCACTGATGAGCCGGTGGGTGGAGTAAGGGCAGGAAGGTGATGATTGCTTCTGCTGGAACACTCAGGTGCTTGGGTGTGACACCTGCCTCCAATGGAATTCCCTCGTCCATGATGTGAAGAAACAGAGCTATTCTCTGCTTAGGCTTTTGGGAGCTAGTATGAGGTTTTAATGAGGTCAGTAACCAAGCTACTCATCCTTCCTAATAGAATCACCAGGTCTGAATGGTGAGGGCATGCCCTCAATTAGACATGTTATCATGACCAGCTTGAGTGTCCACTCTGTGCTGTAGGGTACTATTAAATGTTACGACGAGGCTCCGAGAAGTGCAGGGACTTGCCTAAGTTCCTCTGGTTCCTTAGCCATGCACTATTTCCTGGGGCTTGGACTTGACTGTGTACTCATCTGGCCTAGGAGCCTAGGTTTCTGGCAGAACCCTGCGGCTTCCTAATCCCAAGATTGAGGGAAGGAGCCACTACAGAATATAGCTAAGCATCTCTACAGAAAAGATTCAAGGCCGTAGACAGCACCAAATTCAGCCAAGAAGCATGCCAGTGGCCCAATGCAGCCTGGAGATTAGAACCTCCAGGATTTGGGTGGGCTCTGTGTTCTGAGACATGACCCAGAAGATTTAATAGTCACTGGCTGAGGACTTCTATTCTAAACAAAACCCTTTTTGTGGTGTGTCTATGGTGTGTGTTGGCACACACACACACATGTATGTCACATGCTGAGGTCAGGGGACAACTTTAGGTGTTGGTCTTCACCTTCCAAGTGGTTCGAGACAGCGTCTCTTGCCCATTGTAGAATACTCCAGGTTAGCTGGCCTTTGAGCTTTTGGGGATTCTCTCATTTCCTCTTCCAATCTCTTCATAATGTCCTGCTGAGGTTACAGTATGTATGTTACTGGGTTTTAGGGACTAGAACGCAGGTCATTGTGCTTGCACAACAATCACTTTCCCCACTGAGCCAGCTCCATAGCCCCAAACCTCTACTCTTAAATATTAATTAGTTGAGCGCAAACCCTATGTCAGCCTGGGGTATGGACATTCATAAACACAACTCTTGCCTTGTGGGATCTTATAGTTCAGAAAAGGACAGATGGATTACCTGTTCATCCACACAGAGCATTAAGGCTAGTGACACTAGTGTACAAGGTCTCCATCACCTCCCCACAGTGAAGAAGCAAGAGTCTACGGGCTCAGGAAGGCCTCTTAAAGGACTGTACGTTAGTAGAGACAAGCAACCAGCCTTTACTGGGTGCCAAGAGTGGCCAAGTGGGTTTGTTAGATGCAGAACAGTTGAGTGCAGACCGGGTATTGGAGAAGTGAGTGATCTTACGGTGAAGAGATGGGAGAAGGAAAACCACACCATGACCGAGATTCATCCTTCTCATTCCAGGTGACGGGGCCAGCAACCCCGTTCACACTTGGATCCTTGTTCTTAGGACCCACTCTGTGTGCGAACTTGGCCATCCTCCCTGTGCATACCTCTAACACCCCACCCACCCCCATGACTGCCCTTTCCCTTCATGCCTCCCTCTAGAAAAATTGCTCTTCTTTCTCCCCATCCTCACCATCCTGCCTGGTCCTCTAGTCTCCTTGTCTTGACAGTCTCCCACTTGGCTTATGACTACTACCCTTGCTTTACCACACAGCCAGGCTAACTTTGGCAGCCAATTTAATGACATATTGGCCAAGCATGTCTACTTTGCCTAACTATACAGAAAGTGATCTATTTTTAATACATAAATGAATCACTTCAATGTCATCACTTTTGGGAACCCTAAAATATTTTACATAATAAACACAGTCTGAGGAAAACAAAACATCGGAATGCAAAGAACAGACCATACTCTGTCAGTGGTGACATATATAAAGCTTGGGTATATATATATTTGGGCTGAGCTGCATAAGGGTTGTGTTTTGGTAGAAGACAAGTGTGAATTATTTAGAGTGAACTTGCCAAATGCTATGCTTCATGGAGATACTGTTTATGTGTGTATGTTTATATTTTCTTTAGAACTATGCAATTTGGTCTTGTGCCTGCCTCACTGATCATGAACTAAGCGGTGGAAACGAGTGTTGCTGCACAACTGACAGAATAATATGCCATGCTAAAGGTTCTTTGCGTGAATAGCGTATCCTCCTATTTCGTTCCATGGTGTTGGAGGCTCAGGCAAGATTAAATCAGGCATGCCGGTACTCAGATCCTAAAACAGAATCTGAAGGCATTCCAGCCTAATATGATGATTTTCCTGGTCACCTCACTCTACTGCTAATGATGCAGAGCAGATTTTAGCATGACATTGCTTCAGTCTGTTAGAGTGGGGTCTCGCAGTCTTTGGGCTCTGAGTCACTCATTGCGCTCCAGGCTCTGTCCTCTTCCTGCCCACACCACACTATATTGTTCTCTTAAGTCTCGTACTTCTGTTCTTTTTTTTCAAGTATGTGAGCATCAGAGGGAAAGTTGCAAACTGAGCTTTCTACTCACCAATACTCTATGTCCCTTCATTTGTCTTTTTTTTTTCTTTTTTTCAAGACAAGGTTCTCTGTGTAGCTCCGGCTGTCCTGGAACTCACTCTGTAGACTAGGCCAGCTTTGAACTCAGAGATCTGCCTGCTTCTGCCTCTGGGATTAAAGGTGTGTGCTGCCACTGCCTGGCTCATTTGTCTTTATTTGACCAGTCATCACAATTTTCAATGTTTATCATACATCTTTTCTGCTTCTCTCATCTCCCAACCCTCCCTATAACTTGCTCATCCTTGGCAAGGACCTTGGTGGCTCCCACTTTACAGAGGAAACTCACGTGGACATCTGAATCCTCATGCTGGCTTGTGCTTCTCAGAGGAAGAGCTAGGCCTGACCTTCAGGCCCAGCAATTCTATTTCCATTGTCCTTCATCACTTCCCCAGGGAATACTCAACCATAGGATTGGGTTGGGCTCTTTTCATTGGCTGAAATAGGTCCCTCCTCCTGCCTGTCATCCTCCACACATGCTCAGCTCTCTTTAACATACCTGTGCTACCACCTGCTTTACCGTGGGTGGTCTGTTAGCTCTCTCCTGTCCTCATGAAGATTCTAGTATGTCTAATTGCCTTTTCCTTTCACCCTGTCTTCCTTCTGGGGCTCACTGAAGCCTCTTTCCTCTATGAATCTCCTTAGAATTTGTACCCTCTTTCTTTCCTAGCTATTGGTATATATAGTTTTTCTTCAGCGTTTATGATTTGAATTCTTTATGGTGTTATGTGTCTTTTTGAAAGCTTTCCATCATCAGACGGTAATATCCTTGCTTTATCTGCCCCGATTCATCCTGTGTCAAAAGGAAAAAGAACCAGAAGCATGGCCAGTGTGGGACAGAGCCTAGGTGGCCCTGAGTGACTCACAGAGTGGGCCCATCACACTGAAGCACAGCCTGTGCTTACAGGTTACCTTCTAGTCAGTTCCACCCTTATCATTGATTTAATTTAATTTCAGTAATCCCCACTCCATGTTTCCCCTTATGTCCCCTTATGCTTAACTTAATAGACTTCATTTCATGTGAAGGTGATTTTTTTTAAAGTCTTTCCCAATCATTTGTGTGTAACACAGTGTGATCTAGGTGACTTAGGGACACATGACGCTCCTACAGTTGATTGCATAAAGACCAGTACTGATGGAGCTGAATGGAATCTGTAAGGAGGAGTAAGAATCATGCAATGGACGGAGAGGTGGGGAGGAGAGGGCATTCTGGGTAGTCTCCTGAGACAGCTGGTCAGTTGGGCAGCCTCTAGAGGGCAGATGAGTGATTGTGTCAAGCTGACTCAGGACTTGAAATCCTGACATGAAAAGAGTGGTGAGTAGTCCAGAAAGGGCCTTTTAAGGCAGGCAGGTTGTGAGGACAGTCAAATATATTCTATTCAGGCAAACACTCATACACATAAACTAAAAAGAAATCTTTAAAAATTATTGTGCATGATATGAAGACATGTAAATTCAATAAAAGAGAAAAGTAACAAATGAGGGCATTGGTAGGGTGGAGGTCTAGGGCCACCAACCAGGGAAACTGAGCCCAGCAGAGTTGCAGCTTGAATTGGTGAGTTACCCAGTGTCAGGGTGCGAGGTGGGTTTGTTTCTGCTACAGCCAGACCTGAGGAGCACCACCTTCCAGCTTTGGCAGGGCTTGTGCAGAAACCAGCTGGACCAAAGGGAGGCCTCGGGGCTCCTAGAAACAGCATGATAGATGGTTTTTCAATTATAGCAGAGGGTTTCACCCCGATCAGCAAGGTCTCAGAGCATGTGCATCCCAGGGCAGAAGATCTGAGAGAGTGCTCGGGCATCCAGCAGTGAGAATGACAACGGACTTGGCCTGTTTCTAATTGTCATCCAGATGCTGACTTTATCTGAGATGCTCCACTAGGGTGATGGAAGACTCACAACCAAGTAAGTGTCTCCACTTGAGACTGTCACCCCAGGGACACAGCCAGCCCTCCATGCAGACTTGCTGGAGATGTGGAAGGGTTTGTGTGTGTTCTGCCTTTAGTTGTATCTAATATTGCCTCTAGAAGGACCCCGCCTAGGACCTTGTGTGTCCGTCAGGTGGAGCAGACTCCAGATCTGAGAAGTGCAGGCGCATCGCTGGAGACCCTCCAAGCTTCGACCACCCACCTGGCTTTCTTAAGGATGATGCAAGTGAAAATAGCAACTAAAGGTTTGTTATTCTTTCGTCATAGTCTCAGAATAAAGTAATCTTAATTAACCGCTTTCTTATGAAACCTGACAGAATATTAATTTAACAAACGCAATGCTTGCTCTATAGACCGCACAAGCAGGGAAATGTGTGACTGTTACCCTGAACTCATAGGGAAGATGTTTTTCTTGCCTGTAACCCTGGGCTGTCCCACCATTCCCTCTAATCATCACAGAAAACATTACGGAATGAGATCTAATTTCCGGGGTGTTTCAAAGCCTTATGACTTATAGAAATGTTAGTGCATAGCCTGTTTATGGAGACTTTGAAAGCAGAATTTTTCTGTTGTGAGTTTTGGCCCTTCTTCTAAGTGTTCTTTTTTTTTTTTTTCACCCAAGAACTCAACCAACTCGTTTTGGGTAGCCTTGAATTTTACTCACTTGCTCAGAAATGGATTCTGAAGATGTATGTACTTTACGACAAGTGTCATAGTCGTCACTGGATAAGTCGCTGGAGAATCCTAACAAGAAAGCACATTTATCCAACTTGTTTCTTATGCTGAAACTATGTCCATCAGCCTAGCTGTGAAATGTTCTCCTGTGGTTACTTTCTTGTCGTTGGGGTGAGGTGGCATGGCCCTTGGTGGCTCTGGATCTGAGATGATTTGTAGGAGGCGTGATGAGCAGGAGACTGTGATCCATGATAGGTGGGTTGGATCTTCCCTGTAAACCAACCCAAGCTTTTGGACCCTTAAATAAAGTTTAGGCAAGGCTCTGGTGAGTATCTAGAGGACCTAAAGGTCTGGGGGGGAAAGGAGAGGGTTGAAAGGGGGTGGGGGGAGAAAGGAAGGGAAAGGAGGTTCTGGGCCAAGCTCATGAAATGCAGCACAGGTCAGATGTGGCTCTGGAAGTTGAGTCAGGCTGACTGGGGTGCAAGCAGGCCTTCTTAGTAGCTTAACAGAGAACATCGTCTGTTTTAAAGATGGCTTTGTGGCCTCTAGGAGAGGGCTTGAGCTAAGAAAGAAAACTGCCTTCAGGATGCAATGGGCGATAGGCACCTTAGATTGTGGCTAGAGCAAAGGGATACCCACCCCAACCAGCGGCATACATGTGGGAGATTAGTTAATCTCCCTAGGTATCTGTCTTGAGTATTGGAAGGGGTTGCATACAAGCCCATCTCCAATATTCTTCCAGGACTTGGCATTTATGAGGCCTACTGAGAGCCGTGAGACTATACATGTGGGCTCATTGTGTGCTAGGCAATGGTTTTCAGAGGTGCACACGCAGTTACTCATTTATACACTATGAATAACTCTTGGAAGGTAAAAAACTATTGCCATTGTTTAAGAGGAAGAAATTGAGCCTGAAAGAGCTTGAGACATTTGCTGGGTTCAGGGCAAAGAAGGTTCTAGAAGCAGTGCTCTGGTTTCTGGGCCTGCCTTTCTGAAGGGCACTGAGTGAGCAGGTGACCAGCTGCACTTCCCAGGTGTCCAGAAACACGAAGACATGGAGGAGGAGCTGGTGTGGCTGGGTGGCAGAGGGATTGTTTAGTATGTGCATTAGGGCTCATCACCACCCAACACAGACACATGCAAGCGACTGTGACTGCAAGAGACCAAGCGAATAGATCCAGCCTAGTGATGGTGCATGGTCAACTGCAGGGGTCCTTCTTACAACTAGGACTTAAAAAAATGTATTTTTATCCAAATCCTAGGGCTCAAGAACTTAGATAAAGGGAAGAAAAAAAGGCCTCCTGTGGGAGCCACTGAGGAATTCTGTAGGAAGACCCTGCTGGAAACAGCAGTAAGTTCAGCTCTGCAGGAAAGTGACCCAGAAGTCATCACACCTTAGAAATTTAAAATTTACAAAAGCTTAATTCTAGTGCATTAATTTCTTCTGGACCTAGGGTCTAACTTGGTAGGTTCCAAGGCTTCAAGAACCAGATCTCTCTGGGGCATTCCCTGGAGGGCTGATCACAAAGGCCTGAAGGTTGTAGGCAGAATTCTTTCTGGACCAAAGACTCCTCAGTTTCATGGAGTCTAGACACAGACACCACTCTGAGGTGGCATGGTGCCCGTGAAACCAGAGCCTGGCCTCTCTGGGAGGCATCTGGGAAGTATGAGTTGGATTCATGTGGAGTATCAAGGCTGTAAGTAATTAGAAGTCCAGATGCCTCGCTTTCTCCCTGACATAAAAACGCGGGTGTGGCAGTCTTCTTGTGTCTTTGGTGATTTCAGTGCCTTGACTGATTGATTGAAGACTTAGCCATTTGGCAAATTGTTCAAAAGAAGATTATTAGTTACTTTTCAGTGTAAGATTGTTGTTAGTGGATTAGGTATGTTTTTTTGTTCCTTCTTTAGTTCCTCCTTTCTTTAAAAATTTTAACCACATTTATTTATACGTGTGTATATGTGTGCACAGGCACTTGTGTGTGTGCTCACGCACGCATGTGTGCATGCTATGGTGTACCTGTGGAGGTCAGAGAACAACTTTCAGGAGGTAGCACTCTTCCACTACGTGGGTTCCAGGGATCAAACTCAGATCATCAGGCTTAGCAGCAAACACCTTTACCTGTTGAGCCATGTAGGCAGCCCCTGTTATTTCCTTTCTATGTTCTTTGCATCTTGTAATATTATGTGATGATGGAGAGAGAGAGAGAGAGAGAGAGAGAGAGAGAGAGAGAGAGAGAGACAGACAGAGAGAGAGAGACAGAGAGAGAGACAGAGAGAGAGACAGAGAGACAGAGAGAGAGATCTACTCAAGGAATTTTGGTCAGTGATGTGGGGCAGGTGTGGGAGGCATGGGCAGGCAGTTCTGTTCACATGGTAGGATTTGAGGCCATTAAAGGGGTACCAGGCAGGCCAGGGCCTTGTTCGGATCAGCCAGCTGCAGCTAAGGACAGAGAGAATGGGACTCCATGTGGCAGTTTATGGGAAAATGGGGCAAACTCTGGAGACAGCCACCCCAGGACAGTCAGGCTCTGGACAATCAGAGGAGAGTGGGGGGCTGGAAACCCAGCCAGAGGAAGGGAGCCTGATAAGCAGGCACCGAGTACCATGTCTGCTCTTCCGTTAGCTCCTGCTGATGGCTGAGGCGAGGACACGTGGGTTTTATTTTATTTCTCGTGAAAGCAAAATATGTCATGATGGAAAAAGCATTAGCCAGGTGACACTAGAGAAGTCACTCGGCAGCCCTGTTTTGAGTGAGTTTTGTGGGACCCTGGATTGCACTTTTTCCATTTCTAGGTGAGGAGGTAGGATTGGGTGGACCCTTCGTACTTCTTCCAGTTCTAAGGTCGGATAATGGTGACCTTGAACAAAGTAAGATTTATGATTCTGCCAATAGGAAGCACTTCTTCAGTGACCCATGTTCCCCCATGTATTTTAAATATGAAAAGCTCCCATTGAAGACAGTATGGTATTTCATAGCACCTTTTATCACACATCAGCCAGTATCCATGGTGCAAACTCATGACCCGCATGGTGTAGGCACAGGAGTGAGTCAGAGGCCATTGGATTCGGAGCTGATTGGAGGACATTACCAGCCCATGGGTTTTTGTGTCCTCAATGCTTAAAATATCTAGATGATAGGTCCATATGTTTGTTGTGTTAGTCATTGCAGATCTGGACATATTTAAGACACTTGGTAGTGAAAACAATTGTAATTATTATCTAGTGAAGAGACAGAGGGAAGAGCACCCCAGTACTTTTTAAGAAGATGAGGACATTTGGGCTCTGGAGGCAGACGGAGTTGAGGGCTTTGGAGGGTCAGGGTTAGTGGTAGGGTGTACTGCCTGCCTGCATATTCCAAGTAGGACCTCCTCACCCACCCCTTCTTTCTCTCTTTTCCTCCTTCTGATGTGTGAAGTTCAAGGAGGTGAGGAGATGGTGAAGTGTCCTCTGTGGGGAATCCACGTCTACTGCCCAGAGTGTGGAGACCTCCCTTCTGCATGCTCCAGGCCACAGAGAGATCTTTCCTCACTTTGACTCAAAGCTGCGCGGGATGTGGAAACGGAGGTGGAAGTATACAGAAAGACCAAGGCTTTGGGTCCCTTGAGGTTTTCCAGGACCCGAGTGGCCACACTGGAGGAGACTGATGTCCGTGTAGACATGAGAACATGGTGTGGCAAGCAGCACATGGAAGGACAGTTAAGGATTTTAGTGTTGTTGGAGGCCCCGGGGTCTCGGGGTGGGCAGGAAAGTGGGAGGTCCCTGCTCAACCGCAGAACTGCTGGCTATTCTTAGTAACTTATCTTCGGGCATCTTCTCACGGAACCTGGCAACAGTGTTGAAAGCCAAAGATGAGGAATTTATATAAAAAAGATAAACCAGTGACTTCAAAGCTGAGGGTATCTAGTCGTTCCTGCCAGAGACCTCCCAGTTTCAGATAAATGAGTCGCTTGGCAATTTTGGCCATTTCCACACCATGGGAGCTTAAGAGGGTTTCATTTGTGATTAATCGTCTTCCCCCCAATTTCTTTTAATTAAGGCATACATTAGAAAGCAATTTTCCCCTCTCTCTCAAGTATTTGAGAAAATGGATTGCCTTACACAGAGGGGCTTGAGTTCAAACGGATAAAGCCGCATGTGCTGTGGCTGAGGCCTGCAGTCCCCACACTCAGGCTAAGGCAGGAGGATTGTCTCAAGTTTGACATTAGCCTGGGCTTTTTAGAAAGTACCAGGCCAGCCTGGGCTACACAGTAAGATCCTATCTCAAAATAAAACAACAAAAAACAAACAAACAACAACACAAAAAAGGAAAAGTAAGGAAACAATCTGATTAAAGTCAAGACTAGACTGCAATACCAGCTTGATCTACCCAAACTGCAAATAAATCCATTTCCCTTATTTTTTTGTGGGAGGGGTGTGTGTGTGGAGGGTGGGGGGGGTAGGGGGTAGGGGAGATGGGAGAGCAAAATAAAACAAAACAACAAGGCTATACTGACACGGTAAACAGAAAATGATTATATGGCAAAACTTTATAATCTTATAACATTTTAATTAAAATATTTATTTTTCTTTGAAAATTCTTTATATATGTATAAGATAAATCTTACCACATTCACTGCACACTTTCTCTCCAGCTCCTCACTTCGCCCCCAACTTTGTGCCTCTCACCTCGTCTTAAACCTACTGAGTCCAGTTAGTGCCACCCACAAGCACCTTGGTGTTGGGTCATCCATCCACTGGGGCCCATACCCCTAAAGAAAATTGCTCTCGCCGGTCGCTGGTGGCGCTCGCCTTTAGCCCCAGCACTCAGGAGGCAGAGCCAGGCGGATCTCTCTGAGTTCGAGACCAGCCTGGTCTACAGAGCGAGATCCAGGACAGATGCAAAAACTACACAGAGAAACCCTGTCTCAAAAAACAAAAAACAAAACAACAACAACAAAAGTTACTCCCTTTCCACAAGCACCCATCAAATGCCAACAGCTTTTCAGGGGCGGGACCCTTGGAGGCCCCCCTCCATCCACAGCTGCTGTGAGCTCATGTGTGTGACATCCATGCGGTGTTCAGAGGACAGCATCTCACGGCCGTCCTCCAGCCTCTGGCTCTTACATCCTTCCACCCTCTCTTCCCCAGTATTCCCAGGGTGGTGGTCGGGGAGGTTGGCACGGTTGTCCCATCTACGGCTGAGCATTCGCGATCACTTAGTCTCAGTGTTTTGACCAGTTATGAGTCGGCCTTCACTGCTGCCCACTGCAAAAGAAACTTCTCTGACCAAGGTCAAGGGCAGCCCGTGTCTAGGGGTGGGAACGCAGATATTGAGAAGGGGGTTTGAGAACATGACCACTTAGCAAACAGCAATAGTAAGTTCCTCTCTACAGCCTCCCTAGCCGCGGGCTTTCGGCTGGCTTTGCAGTATCTGGCATGAGTTTCATCCTGTGGAGGAGGCCTCCAGTCCAATCAGACCCACGGATCCTTTCTGACAGGCATGCTGCTATTCTCCTCCAGTACTGAATGCTGAACCTGCGGCCTTATGGCAGGCAAGGCAGCACTATGCCACCCAGCCCAGACAGTACTGTGCCACCCAGCACCAGGCAGTACTGTGCCACCCAGCACCAGGTAGTACTGTGACACCCAGCACCAGGCAGTACTGTGCCACCCAGCACCAGGCAGTACTGTGACACCCAGCACCAGGCAGTACTGTGACACCCAGCACCAGGCAGTACTGTGCCACCCAGCACCAGGCAGTACTGTGCCACCCAGCACCAGGCAGTACTGTGCCACCCAGCACCAGGCAGTACTGTGACACCCAGCCTAGGCAGTACTGTGACACCCAGCACCAGGCAGTACTGTGCCACCCAGCACCAGGCAGTACTGTGACACACAGCACCAGGCAGTACTGTGACACACAGCACCAGGCAGTACTGTGCCACCCAGCACCAGGCAGTACTGTGACACCCAGCACCAGGCAGTACTGTGCCACCCAGCACCAGGCAGTACTGTGACACCCAGCACCAGGCAGTACTGTGACACCCAGCACCATCCCTTGCTTATTCATTTTTGTTATATTGTTGTTGCCTAAAATTCAGGATAATTAAACTTTGGGCTCTGTCTTAAGCTCTATTTTTGACTCTTCATTCTTCTGAAATGAAATTAAACTTTCTTATCTGGTCCTAAAATTTGGTATGCTAGTCTCTTAAGGAACTTCAGATAACAAAAGCGAATGGAAAGAACTCTCTCTCTCTTTCAGATTAGATAAAGAACCTCCCCTACTGCCTTAATTCCACAAATGAACAGAACTACATTTTTATCTAATTATATTAACTATTAATCTCTAATGTATTTGCCAGAAATACCCTCCTTTAGACTTAGGAGTGGAAACATGAGCTTTGAAATCAGGCTGACCTTGAACTCTTCAGCAATAGGGCCTTACAGTTTATGGGGAGATATCAATAACTTTGGCAACAGCCTTGGTTGTTTGGGGGTCCCCACGAGACCCCTTTGGCCAAGAACTTGATTGAATGTAACCTAGTACTAGTCCTGGTACTGGAAGCTTCATTTGGTGATGAGAGATGTCCAGTTGGGTCTCTGTCTCTCCTGTTATCTGACAAATTCATTCAGATTGCCTTCATATAGTGTATATTTCAGGAAGCTTCTGCTGTATTAGTTTTGCATATGACTTCCCCTAATGTCCCTTAGTTTTAGCTGTCCCTCCTGTATTTCCTCACTCACCTCCCTCTTCCCTGTGTCATCCTCTCATTCCGATATCCACCTGACCCCTGTGAGTCTATAACTATCTATTACATTTCCCCTTTCTAGGGAGATCTACCCTTTCTCCTAGTCCCTGACTCTCTACCTAACCTCTGTGGTTTATGGATTGTCGCTTGCTTATCAATGACTTATCAATGATTACCATCCACCTATAAGCAATACATATTGTATCTTGTCTTCCTGGGTCTGAGTTATGTCATGCAGGATGATTTTTTTTCTACTTCTATTCATTTACCTGAAAACTTCATGATTTCATTTTTTTAATGGCTGAGGAATATTCCATTGTGTAAATGTATCCCTTTTTTTTTTAATCCATTCATCTGTTGACAGACATCTAGGTTGTTTCCAATAGCTATTATGTATCGAGTAGCAATGAACACGGTTGAGCAAGTGTCTCTGTAGCAGAAAATATCCTTTGGGTAGATGCCCAAGAGTGGTAGAGTTGGATTTTTTTTTTTCTTGAGACAGGCTTTCTCTGTGTAGCTTTGCGCCTTTCCTGGAACTCACTCTGTAGCCCAGGCTGGCCTTGAGCTCACAGAGATCCACCTGCCTTCACCTCCCAAGTGCTGGGATTAAAGGCGTGCGCCACCACCGCCCCGGCTATAGTTGGATCTTAAAATAGATCGATTGCTATCTTTCTGGGGAACCACCACATTTTCATAGTGTCTGTACAAGTTTGCACTCCCGCCAGCAATGGATGAGTGTTCCCCTTACTCCACATCCTCGCCAACTTGAGCTATCACTTGTATTATTGATTTTTTGCTGTTATGACTGGTGTAAGATGAAATCTCAAAGTAGTTTTGATTTGCATTCCCTGATGACTTAGGATGTTAACATTTTTTTAAGTGCTTCTCAGTCATTTGAGTTTTCCTTTTTTGAGAATTATCTATTTAGATCTGTATCCCATTTTTAAACTGGGTATTTGTTGTTACTTTGATGTCCAGTGTTTGAGGTCTTTATATGCTTTGGATATTAGCCCTCTATTGAATGTGTAGTTGATAAAAATCTTTTCCCATACTGCAGCCTGCCACTTTGTCCAAAGGACGGTGTCCTTTGCCATACAGAAGCTTTTCAGTTTCATGAGATCCCATTTATTAATTGCTGATCTCAGTGCCTGTGCTAATCATGTTCTGTCCAGAAAGACTTTTCCTGTACCAGTGAGTTCAAGACTATCCCCCACTTTCTCTTCTATCAGGTTCAGTGATTCTGGCCTTATGTTGAGGTCTTTGGTCCATTTGGAGTTGAGTTTTGTGCAGGGGTAAGTATGGATCTATTTGAATTCTTCTACATGCAGACATCCATTTGCTGAAAATGCTGTCTCCCCTTCCCCCAGCATGTATTTCTGGCTTCTTAAAAAAAAATCATTGTGCATAGGTGTGTGGACTTATTTCTGAGTTCAGTCTTATTCAAGTGGTTAGCATACCTGTCTTTTTGTGCCAATACCCTGCTGTTTTTATTACCACTGCTCTGTAGTACAATCTGAGATCGGCGATGATGATGATGATGATGATGATGATGATGATGATGCGTCTAGTAGCTCTTTTATCATTCAGGGTTGTTTTAGCTCTCCTGTGTACTTCTGTGTTTCCATATGAAGCTGAAAGTTGTCCTTTCAAGTTCTGTGAAGAATTGTGTTGGAATTTTGATGGAGATTGCTTTGAATCTGCAGATTGCTTTTGGCAGGATGGCCATTTTTACTATACTAATCCTACTGATCCATGAGCATGGGGGATCTTCCCATCTTCTGATATCTTCTTTAAATTCTTCTTCAAGAGACATGACCACTTTTTTACACTGTTACTCTCTTCTAAAAAGTTTTAGGATGCTCACAAAAGTTCTCAGATGATTTTGTGTTCCTATTCTTTGCCCTTTCTCAATAGGCAACATTTCCTATCCACTTTCTTTATCCTGCCTGACTTTGAAAACACTCGTATTTTAAACACACCAACTCTTTCTTTAGATCTACTGTGACAGGGGTGGCATGTCTGGGAGTGTGGCAGTGGAAACATATTCCCCCGGCTTTGGAGAGAAGCTGTGTTTACATGGTCACATTTCTTCCTGTTGAGCGCGACCTTGACTCTTCAGTCTCCATGCATGCGTGATGCTCATTTCTAACTTCATTCCTGGCAAACTTTATCTTCTTTTTTCCCCTCTCCCTTTGATCCACTTGTCTAATTCACTCAAGTCACTGAGTTCTGCCTCTCTTTTTCCAAGATGTGAGCTCCGTTGCTCCACCCCACACCGTGTACCAAGCTGAATGGGTGTGTCTGCTCTTTATTCCTGATCAATGACAAAGAAATGAAACAATGTTAACTGTCAGGCTGACCTTTGGCAGACATAGCTGGATATGTTCTCTGGGCATTAGTCCTGAGCCATGGATAACTCAGGGTTGGATGCAAGAGTGCATGGTTATCAGCCAACCGCAGCCCCTTAGAGCCTACCATGAGCAACACAGATGCTTATTTTTAAAACCACAGAAAGAGGAAGCGGACAGAAGTGCTCCATGCCACCACCTCACTCTGGAGCATGGGACAGTTGGAGCCTCACCCTTTCCTTCCTGACTCCATCAACTCCTAGGCTTTGCAGCTTCTCTGTGGAACCCTGTGGGGTTCAGAAACACATTAGTCCCCAGGGACAGCTCCCCTCTGTGCCATACACACTGTCTCCTCAGAGGTTATCTCTGCCCTCCCCTTTCTCAGACCCGCACCCTCCCCTCTGCTTGTCTGTTCTCTGCCTACCGGCAGGCTCAAGGCTCTTCTACCCTGAGGGCAGGTCGAAAAGCACGCCCCTCGCGCCTGGCCTGATTCGTTTCTAACTCCCTTCCTTCTTGTCTCTCGAACTCTCTTCTTCAACACCTTGCAAACAGACCCGAAGCCGTTCTGCCTGCTGGACTAGACACTGCTTTTCTAGTCAAGGTGGCCTGTAGCCTCATCCTTGCAACACCCAATGAGTAGTTCTGAGGCCGCATGAGTTGCTTTCCTGACAGCCGTTAGTGTGTGACCTCATCCTTCTTGGCATCTAGTTTGTACTTTTGTCCCTTCAACTTCCTGGACCACTTCCTTTTCTGCCTCTTCACATGTTCATTTTCCCTCCACTTTCAGATGCTGGGCTTGGGGTGAGGGGGCCACTGTCTCTGGATGCGTTTTCTTCTTTGGTGGTCTTATTACTGTCCTCATACTCACCTGAATAAGTGTGAGCAGCTATTTCTACGCCAACTCCCTTTTAAGACAGGGTCTCACTGTGTAGCCCTGGTTGCCCCAGAACTTCCAGAGATCCACCTGTCTCCGCCTCCCAAGTGCTGGGATGCCTTGGGAGTATCTAGATACCCTGCTAGTATCTATTTCTATGTATCCTCAACCCACTCCATAAGCCTTGGGCATATTTTTAACTATTTCTTGTTATCTTTTCCACAAGGAAACGGAAATACCATGGGCTTAAAGCTGAATTTATGGGAAGGAGGTAAAAAAAGCCAATGACCTCTCATCCCTTCTGTTTGTTGATTTAGAAACTTTTGGGAGTCATGGGTGTCTTTGAAACATTTATGAAAACTATGTGGACACAGATATTTCAAGGAGGATTGCAGGGGACTCAGAGAACTCCTTTTCTAGAACCTACGTCCCTCCAGGTTCAAGTCGCTCAGCTTGGTAGATGATGGTCTTCCTGGTCCAGCCTGTGTCTGCCCTCTCAGCTTCATCTCCTCCACCTTCAGACCCCGGTGTCTTACGTTCCATCTCTACTAAATCGTGTGTGTGTCCCAACGTGCCCTGTGCTGTCTCCTGCTTGCCTTGCTGCTGCAGCTACTTCTGTCTGGATGCTCGTTCTCTCCTCTTTGCTCGGCTAGGGCCTCTTCGAGCCTCTTCCTGGAAGCCTCGGTGGAGCCCCTTCTCTCCCTGTCCACTGTCTTTACTGACTTCACCTCCTTTGAGTCTTCGGAATAAATGGAAGAACCTAGCTGCAGAATCTTGGGAACTGTTCAAACCTGCCCTGTGTCTCGTCTGTGGTACTGCTCACGTGTGGTACTGCTCACAGTGTGGTACTGCTCACAGTGTGGTACTGTTCACAGTGTGGTACTGCTCACAGTGTGGTACTACTCACAGTGTGGTACTGCTCACACTGACCTGATTATCTGCATCCTGGGAGCTATTGTAGATCTCTGAGTCCTCCCATCTCTCTTTGTATGGACTCTGCTTGCTTTACTATATCACATAAGATTAGTCACCAAGGCAGAAAATTGAGTCCATGTGTGAGCGCTGGCAGAGGGTGCCAAAGGTTCAGTCACAGGCCACTTCTTAGCCTGGAAGACTTTGCCTAACATCATTCTTAGAAAATGAGCCATGGAGACGAACAAAGAGTGTGTAACCATAATTGTTCTTTCAGCTCAGCTCTCCCTTGTGTTCACCATGGAATGGACGTCACATCACATGGCCGCTTGCTGCCTGCTGCTGTCCTGGGTGTTACCATGTACTCTAAGGTCAGAGGGTGATTGGAGGTACACACTTTCTGAGGAGGGAGACATGTTTAGAAATAAATGGGATTCTTTTATGAGGGGAGGAGAATAAAAGCAGTGAAAATAAAATCCAGGGGTGTGAGTTGTGGAAACAGATAGAGCAGCCATTATTAGGAAAGCAGAGGAGAGTGAGATATTTCCAGATATTTGTCCCCATGGCACAAACATACCAATTCATTTAGTCATAGACTCCTTCCCTTTCTCTTTTATTACATTTATTTATTTATTTTGTGCATGTGTTTCTGAGTGTGTATGTGTGTGGAGGTCAGAGGTCAGCTTGTGAGAACTGGTTCACTCCTCTGTCACGTAGGTCCTGGGGATCAAACTCGGGTCATCAGACTTGGTGACAAGCACCTCAACACACTTAAGGAGCTTAGGCCAGCCTGATTCAGGCATGGATTCTTGTATCTCTGGAAAGCAGGAGAAACTTAGGTTACAGGGCAGGAAAAGACGTTTTTATTCCTTCTCTACACTGGCAGAATAGCGGTCTTGAACTATCAACCTCCGGGCCTCAGTGTCGTGACCCAGAAAATAGGCAGTTGGTCCGAATGGCCTCAAATGTTCCTCCTCCTCGGAAATTCTGTGATTCTGTGACTGTGTAGACACAGCCCCAGGCTAGTCTGGAAATAAACTGTTCAATGAGTTTAAAATAAGACATGCCGACCAAATTACAAGAGTCCTAGTTGGCCACAGATGGGGTTGGCCTTTAGCTGGATTAGTAATGAGGTTGTTTTATTTTTACTTTATTTTGTGTTTTATTTTGTCTGCTCTCCACCCTTTCCATCAGAGCCCTGTCTTCCTGAGCATCCCCATCACAGGCATGGTGAGCTGGTCCAGGCCCCTATCCAGCTGGCAGCCAGCCCTTTATACTGTATCCACCCATTACTTCATCCACAATGGCTGGAGTCCAGCACCTGAGGTTCTAGGTAGGAGTCTGGCCTCAGCAGAAGCCGCCCTTTGCAATGCTGCCTCACTGGTTTCTGGAGCAGGAATGCAAAAGCAACCCAGGCAGGCAGATGGGCCTGTTCCCCGTGGATACCTTCTCTTGAATCCTACCCCGTTACTATGAGCTGAGTCACTTGACTTCTCTGCCTTGCCCATGGCCTTCTGTGGTGAGCTCTCTGCCAATGTCACCAGCCCTGGATGTCTCAGTGAGGCAGCTGGCGATGGTCCTCCTCTGGTATCAGGTGATGTTGCTGTCATATTATTAACCCTGGCAGAAGGTATGCCTGTAGCACGAATCTTAAAAGGTCTTATTAATAAAAACAAACCCAGTGCCAGTTATTGGGGTGAATGCTGGAAGATCAGAGAAGCAGAACAAGCCACAACTACCTCACCTCATCAATTCCTCTGCTGATCCTGTTTCCTCAGACTGGAAGCTTCTGTGTCCTCATCCAAATGGATCTCAGCTGAACTGCTGCTCGAAAGCCTAAAAGCTTAACCAGGCTCTAGTTCCTGGTCCTCACGCCTTATGTACCTTTCTGCTTTCTGCCATCACTTCCTGGGATTAAAGGCGTGAGTCACCATGCCTGGCTGTTTCCAGTGTGGCTTTACACTCACAGAGATCCAGATGGATCTCTGCCTCCAGAAGGCTAGGATTAAAGGTGTGAGTGCCACCATCTTCTGGCCTCTATGTCTGTCTAGTGGTTGTTCTGTTCTCTGACCCCAGATAAATTTATTAGGGTGCACAATATATTGGGGAACAATATCACCACATGTGCCCACATGTACGGCAGCAGAAATGTAAGGAAAGGCAGGGCCTCTTATGTCTAGGTGACAGGACACTAGAGAAACTGAGTTTCTTCTCCTCCGAATGCTGCAGGTAAACTGTCATTTACTCTGTTTAGCAATGCTATAGACTGCATATATTATGGCTTCCTGTTCCGAGAGCTGGGAAAACTCAGATAGATGGAGGAGTTGGCACGTGTGTTCCATGGAAGAATGGGTTTCCGATGCAGCTTGGCCTGTTTGCATAGTGCCCTGGGGGTCTGCTGCCCTGACTCCAGAACACTGTGCTCACAGAGGAAGAGGTGGCGTCCTCTAGCATACATGGGACATTTGGCATGTCATATACTCCTGCCTCAGGATTCCTCCACTTGCTCTTCCTTCTGCCTCGTCTCCTAGCTGCCTCCTTCCCTTTCTTAGTGACACCTCTGCAGACCACTTCGAATCACAGCCCCCACTCCAGCCTGCATGGCCCCGTTCTTCTGTGCTCTGCATTCCCGTGGAGTGTGATCAACACTACCACATGGGACACAGACCTTTCTCAGCGTCTGCCTGTCATTCTCGGAACTTAAGAAAGGAGTTAGGTTTGGGCATCCAGTCTTCATGGGAGCAGGCTGTTCCCCCTCTGTGGCTTGCCGCAGTGTCGCCATCGCCGTGGGTGGTTCACCAGAGCCTGCACCAGGACATGGAGCCCTGGAGATGTTACCAGCTGCTTGCTGAGCAAATTCTGTGAGGCCACAACCACTCAGAGAGGGTGGCAGGAGAAAGGGAAGACCTAGCGTGAGATGTCAGTGACAGACTCAGGAGAAAATCTGTGGTGACATCTGGTATCCCAGACTGCAGCCTTTGCTGAGTCCCCTGTGGTATTGCCAGTCCCTTCTTCCCAGCAGGTACAGAGCCGTGAGGCTGCAAGACGAGATCACACTCTTGTGTTCACACAGCTCAGAAGGGGAACTGGTTTCCATTTACTCACAGTGGTGTTTTGAAGGTGGGCCTTACGCTCTGGGCACATGTGAGATGTAGCCGTGATGCTGTAGAGAGGACTCCAAGGTCAAGGAGACAAATCCGGGATATTGTTTGTTCAATAAGGGGACTCTAGAGGAAGTTGGCCCCTGTGTGTGCCCAGTTGTCCCCTGGGTCTATCTCCATCTTGTCACTCAGCAGGCAGTGTAGCACTGGTGATCTAAACAGTTCACTACTGGCCTATGAGATTTGATCGGAGTGTAGCAGGTTAGCATGAGATTTGGGATCAGACTTTTGGAGTTCAAATCTGGTCTTAGGAGCAATATGACATTGATCATATTAAATTTTTGTATGTATATACATGTGTGCGTGTTCTTGCACATATGTGTGTGTGTGTAGAAATGTTTGTATGTGTATTTGTGTGCACATGGTAGTCAGATGTCAACATCGGATGTTTTCCTCAGTCATTCTTCACTTTATTTTTTTGAGCCAGGCTCCTTCCCTCAACCTGGAGCTTGCTAATTTAGGTAGCCTGGCTGGCCAGTGAGCCTGAAGAATCCCCCTGTCTCTACCTCCCCAGTGTTAGCCTTCTAAGGTGTGTGCCTCTTTGTGTCACTTTTTTACTTGGGTACCATGGAGTGAACTCAGGGTTCCACGATTGCTCAGAAAGCATTTTACTGATGGAGCCATCTCCCCAGGCCCTTATCACGTCATTTAGAGTGTTCTGGGCTTCTACATGCTCCTTCTGTCGATGAGGACTATTCCTATCTTCTTCATAGGCTTACTGTGAGGATAACAGATTAGCACGCACAGAATCATTGCACCAGATGTTCATCGGCGGCCCGGCACACAGTAGGGGCTCAGTAAAAAGACATGGGCACGATGTGGGACACAAGAAGATGGAAGCATGGCTTGAAGCCGCTTCTTTGGCTACTGGAAATGATGGCAGCTGAGATACAGGGACAACCGGATTGTGCAACTCCCAAACAGGAGTGGATTTTAAGTCAGCCTCGGGCGGTCTGATCTTAAAAGCCGGGCCCTGGGACATGAACCAAGAAGGTTTCTGGTGATGAAGACAGGCAAAGGAGATAGATGGGGTTTGTAAACATGACTACAAACACACTTTTGGTAACCAAGCAATTTGGCAATGGTCCCTGGTCTTGAGAGGGAATTTTTCCCTTTAAAAACTAGAATAACAGCACACGGCAATGACTTCATCCAGGACTCTGGGCGCGTGTCCCAGAGGGGCCACCCTTTTCTGGCTGTGAGGCCTTTAAGGCAGGTCAGGCATAAATGGAGAGTTTCCTGTCCCTGGTGGGCACAGCAGATGATCACCTCTGGCTGGGCTCTTCTAAGTCTAGCCTGCAATGACTGGGATTGCCCCCTCAGTTCCCGTTGAGGCTTTCCCCTTACATTTTCTGCAAAGTGCCCCCTTGCTGTTGATTGAGGGTTCCACAGTTAACTCCTAACCATGCATTGCAGGGAAATTTTGTGCTCCTTCCTGCATCGGGTGTTTTGGAATCAAGGGTGGGTGGACAAAGGTGAAGAAAGCCTTCCAGGGTCCACCATAACCCCCTGCACTCAGTACTTCAACTCTTGACCTCCCAGGGCAGGGCTGGGGCCTGGTGTGTCTCATCATTCCTGTGGGTTACAGTGTGGGGGGTCTCTCTAGTTCTTCGGGGTCTGCTCCTGGGAGAAACCGGTTCCTGGAGGTCTCTCACCCGTTCCCCAACGGGACTCGCGGCCTCCTAGAACATTTTATTTCTTCCTGCTTTGTCTTCAGTCATTGTGTCTTCATTTCCTGTCATCACGGGCCATAAATCAGCCTCCCAGACATTGATGGACTCACCCCAGAGCCTACATCTTCAACCTTATGGAACAGACCAACTAAGAGTGCCAAGGTCAGACTGCCAAAGTCAGCCCCAGCTATATTCCCCTTTTGTTTTTTCAGGATGAAGAAAATGCTCCATTAGCTCATGGATGCTGACTTTGTGTCATCCCATTGAGTGTCTTCATGTGAGCTCATGCTGGGCAGGGCCGACCGACACTGATCATTCATCTTTTCCTCACCCCCATGACTGAGAAGCTGATCAATTCCCAGAACAGCTCTGTCTGTTTATAAAATTGGGAAGGTTTGGGCCAGGTTCCTTCAGAAACAGCCTCCCATTCTAAGAACTGAAAACCATATTGATCTTTGAGTCATAGTTTGGGCAGCCTGAGGATTTCTGGGGTTGCCAAGACTCTAAGTCTTTTCTTTTGTAGTGAATTGTGGACCTGAACTGGGGCCCAAGGCAGGTTCTTGGTAGAAGTGCTCTTGCTTGTTTGTAGGGTGGGTAGGACAAGTACATAGCAATGTTGGGGACCTCGGGATCCTGGTGTGTGCTCATGAGTCTACACAGGTACACCCATACCCATACACCCCCCCATCACACATACCTGGGAAAGAAAAGAATCAGGGTCAAGGCAAGTGTGATGTCAAAGTTTTTAGGGTGGGACCGCAGTGCCCATCTCATTGTCCATCAGCCATGATGTTAGCCAAGTCCAGTGTCAGTACAGCATGAACTTTGACCTCTGCACGTTCTGAAGGGCACAGCAGAGCTCTCATCTGTTGCTAAAGCCATCAGAAACACATGCACAACCTGTGTGCCCTCTCTGTTTCAAGGGCAGGGTCCGCTGAGTATGAACACACAGCAAGAGTGGACCTGTGCAGGATCAACTTGGCCCTGGGTTCAGGATGGTGGTATGAACATTGTCCTTGATTTCTTATGTGTTGTTTTGGTATAGCCAGATGTTCAGCAGATGCCTGGCACACAGTAGGCCCTCAGTAAAAAGATATGGGCAGAATGTGGAGAACAAGTGGATAACAGCATGGTGTGGGCATTGCCTCATGTTGAGATTCGAGAAGAGACACAGACTTCATCTGCATTCTGACTTTACAGAGCTTTGTTCTACCAAGAGCCTGCCAGTCCCATCATTAATCACTCGCTTTGAGGAGGTCTTTCTGAGTCACGCTTGGCAACATGGATACATGATCTCTCCTTGAGCCTGATTCAGCAACAGGTACGGGTGAGGGCAGGGCCAGGAGGGAAGAATATTAGCAGGGGTGGGATTCAAGAGTACCAAGTACTGAGGACAATGGTGGGCAGGACACGCGGGGGTAATAGAGAAAGATGGATTGGAGTGGCTGAGGAAAATTCACAGTTGCATCTCCTATTGACTCTCCTCTGTGGTGCCACACCCAAGGAGACCTGTTGGAGTGGTGAGGGCGATCACAGTCCCCAGGGACCACACAAGCTGCTTCTCAGCCCTCTAGTACTCTTGTGGAGATCAAAGACCTGTGCGTAGTTGAGACAGAATAAAAGGGTCCACAGGGATATTCCCCTGTCTTCTGTGTAAGTGTATGTGCACGTGTGTGTGTGTGTGTGTGTGTGTGTGTGTGTGTGTGTGTGTGTGCTTATGCACGTGCATGTGCACACACATATAGACTTGTGGATACAGGTTACTGTGGATGGTTGAAGCTCATTGGCTGGCTGAAATAACAGTAGCCATACCTCTCCTCTGTGATCCAATGCTTGACTGACAGCTACTGCAGCCCCAGGGTGACACTGGACAGTAATATAAGCCGTAAAAAGGGGAGAGGCAGCATGGGTAGGATGATGATCAGAATCAGGAGTCTTCACACAACACTATTATTTAGTTTAATAATTTGGTTCAGATTTTACCAATGTAAAAGTAAAAGAAAATCATAACCCTAAATCTTAATATTTCTTTGCTGTGTCTGGCTGGTCTTTCTTAATCTGGACCAATCCTAGAGACTTGGGTTCAGTTCTCATGACATTGGCATTGTGTGTGATTTTCACAGAACGTCTGTCTGTTTGGATTCGGGTGATGCACCACGGGCAGGTGTGTGACATTAGTGTCCACACACCTTTCTCTGTATGTGGAGTCAAGTGGCCTCTGCTGTTGATTGGCTCAACTATGGTGATAGTAGCTTTGATCATCTTGTTACGGTGGTTCTCTTCAGTTTTTCCATCAGAAAGTTCTTTTATCCTTTACCATTCATAAATGTGTGGTGGGAAAAGACTTCGAGACATTAGTCTTCTGTGATCTGATGATCTTGGCCATATCTGCATAGTGGCATTGGCTCAAGATGGTGAATGCTGCCCAATCTTTATTTTTATAGATGTGTCCAAGAGATTCTAGTGAGCACCAGTGGCCTGGGGTGAGTCTGTGTTTGCTTAAAGGTGAGTCCATGAGAGCAGGACTGTTGAGGGGGCCTTGAATAGTCCCAGCGTATCTTTTGGCATCTGGTATTGGTTCCCGGGAACCTGGCTTTCCTCTCTGAAGGGCAGTGGTTGTCGGTTCTCAGGCGGAGGTACCCTGTGTTGTCTTTGCCAATGTTGTTTGATCTAGCTTTCTGCTGACCTTGGCCCATTTGCCTCCTGAAAGTAGTGTACAAGATTCTGTACTTCTTGATAAATTTGCTTGGCATAAGCTGTTAGCTTGTGCAAGACCTCCTGGTCCTAACTTTCTGTCTTCTTTATCTTTTCAAATCCGTTCCTTGACCTTGACACTTGGCCATTTGGGACTGTTATTCCTGCAGGTTTGAGTTACTAGATGGTTCAAGATCTTGTCAAGCTGGCAATCGATGCCAACCATTATGCACCATCCTCAATGTCTAGGCACCACCCTAGGTCCTGGAGACACAGTACTGGCCATGCCTTGTTCCTATCCTCATAGACTTCATAACTCAATGGGGCTAAGCCAGCCATAGCCAAGCTCTCCAATCTCTTTGACCCCTCTTCCACAGTGGCCTTCATTGGCATCCAGCTCCTCATTTTTCTCTCCTGTGAGGTAGAACAGGAACAGTGCCTCTCTGAGAGCTACCATTGCTTTTTGGTGAGGTCACACACAGGAAGGTCTTTAGTGTCACCCTGTGTGTGGATGTATGTGGGGTCTGACACAAACCCAAATGATCGAGTCTTCTTTCTTTAAAAAAATCATTTTTAATGACTTATTTATTCTTATTTTATGTCCATTGGTATTTTGCCTGCATTTATGTCTGTATGAAGGTGTCAGGTCCCCTGGAACTAGAGTCACAGACAGTTGTGAACTGCCATGTAGGTGCTGGGAATTGAACCTGAGTCCTCTGGGAGAGCAGCCAGTGCTCTAAACCGTGGGGCCATCTCACCAGCTCCTATCAAGCTTTCTTACATGCTCAGAGTAAGTAAGATCTTCTCTTTCCAGGACTCTGCTTGGCTTTGGTCTGACTCTGGAGAAGAGCTGAAATTCTGAAAGAAACTGCAGATTTAGAATCAGGCTTTGAACAGTGGCAAGAAGGAGCTGAAATATGGCCCAGAGAAAAGGCAGCCACCAGCAAACGTGTGGTTCATGTCAAGCTCCCAGGTTTCTCACGCTGAGGTGGAGTGTGAGCCTGGCTGCAGCTTGCAGTTTGTGCCATGCATGATCCTGGGTGGCAGGGGAGCCTGGGCTAGGCTGAGTGGGTGAACCTGAGACTTTGGAGACCTGCCACAGAAAGACTCCATCCTTCAGCTACTTCTCATCTCTTGCTACACCTGTGACTATTTCCCCACGATTCCAGAAACCTTCGCTGACAGTGAGACTTTGTCTGATCTGGAAATACTTTTGATATCCAGTCTAGCTGTCATCTGCTTCTAAGAGGGGGAAGCCTGTATCCTCAGATGCTCTCTAGGGCCCCATTTCAACCTAAACACCTTGGCTTAGAGGTTCTGTCTCCCATAGCAACCCTGGTAGATTCACCACCTTGGCAATTACCTCCAGACTGGCTCAGCCTAGTCCACTCACAGTCCACAGCTAAGTGGACGTGCCTAATCAATTCTCCTTATCTTCTCACAGCCTGCTGTAGAGACCTCATAGGTAGCCAACAGCCTGGACAGTGGGTATCAGCATGGCTATGAGTTGGGTGGGGATAGGGTATGTTTTTTTGTCCGTGTATGTGCAGTTGAGTGAGCCAGGAAGATGCAAGGGTTTCTAAGAACTACCCGAGAGGCCTCTGAAGACATCTGTGCCTTTCCCTCCACACGCTGGCAGTGAGGAATCAGGACTCAAGCTTCCTGCTGAGGAACTATACCATGAAAGTACCCTCAGGCCACCCCGGTACATGCCTGGCCCATTATGTTATCATCCATGATGAGAGGGAGCAGGCTTTGATAGTGTAGGGTAGACTTCCTGGGAGCTCATTGGAGGGACACAGAGGGGAGGTGCCTGGTCTGAACTAGGATCTTAGCTTCTCTTCTTTCTGTGCTCCTGGGAGGGGTAGCCTAAAGTGTTTGGTAATGAGGTAATGGTCAAGAAGCTGTGGGCACCACGATGCCTAGCCAGACACTGGGTGGAGCAGGAGCCCGTCCTAGCTCAGCAATTCCCAGAGTCTGGTTCCCTGAAGGAAAAAGCATCACTTCAGAGAGGCTGGCACTCTCCTCATGACTCCAGTAGGAGTCCTGGCTCTCTGCTTTCTGCAGAAGCTAGGGCCAGGGAGGCCCCGGACAGAGAATTCTAAATGACCCACTCTGCAATGCGCTTTCAAGGCATTTTCTCCGGGCAGCAGTGGGTAGGGCATTCACTTCATACGTCTCCATCCCCTCCCATTCCAGGTTCCTGCGATCTTAGTCAGGTCAAGGGGGCGGGGCGGGGGAGCCTACCCTCTACGGGTGGAAGTGTTGAAGTCTTTTTTTTTTATTTCTTGCTGACTTCTTGCTAGTAGAGGTCTGACGAGGCAGAATCTGAACAGATTGGGGGCATGTTCTGGCTGGGACACTCTCTTTCAAAGAATATGTTGGGGTAGATGGTTCTCTGCAGGAAGATGAATTCCGTCGTTTCCAGGTATACCTTTGCACCAACTCTCCAACCTACTATCCTGGAGTCCCACTGTATCATAGTCCCATTGCTTAGTGGCTATCCAGGCGTGGAATAACCCACCAAGAACACGTGCAAGTCAGAAGCCTTTTGGAGGTGCAGCTCAATTAATTTGGAGACAGTATGTCTGATAGGTCTGGGGTGCAAAGTTCAAAGTCAGTAAAAGTCTGCAAGATCTAGAAGGTGAGGAAGGTTGGCGGCAGCAGGTCCTTCTGAAGAAGTGGACTGTGTTAACCACAGCTTGGTGTGTGTCTGTCACCCAGAGTGCCCCTAGGACCTTCCTTTAGCACACATGTAGCCCGCTCCCCTGAGTACTAGAGGTCTGGGCAGCATCACTAGGAGCACATGGGAGTCTGGCACCCCACTGAAAACTAGGAGCAATGACAGTTCCTCTGTTGGTGCTTGCTTTGTGTTTTGCTTGGGGGAATGACAGAGAAAAGGAAAATGATGGATGTGGCTCTTGAGCTGAGATGCCACCTAGAGTTGGCTCTTGAGTATGGGAAGGGCAGGGCTCACCTACAACCACCTGTCTAGCCTGGAGCACATAAGCATCCACAGATACTTGTGAGCATGACAGATGCCTCCTAATGCTGCTTGAAGGAGCACAGGACCCTTCTACCCCCAGGGGCTTCTGCTTGCTCTTGAACTTCCTGCTGTCAGTGAGCTGAGCATCCAGCTCATTGTGAGCCACTCCAGTAGAGTGTCCAGTAGAGGAAACCCAGTCAGCCTCACAGGACCATGCAGCAGGTGCAACCTCATAGGACCATGCAGCAGGTGTACACTGTGATGCAGGACCAAAGAGTTTCAGGAGGGGACATTTTTCTCTGTGCTGGTCAGACTACATGTGTTTCATCAAACAGATTGTAAGTTTCTTTGTATACATTTATGTTTGACCTCCTCATAGAGAAATTACCTCCCATTGCCAGGCCCATGGGTTAGCCTTGAGTGCATTAGAATGTGCCTCATATCTCTTCATAGATTTGGTTTTCATCACAATGGAATTCACCTTGGAGACACTCATTAGAATTTTTTGGTCACTTTATAATAGAAATATGAAGAGGAGATTAATAGACCTTAAAATTTATTGTGTTGTCTCACCACTTACAAGTATTTATTTATTTATTTTGTAGGACGTTGTCTGGCTTCTTATTTGTCATAGATGTAGAAATTTACCTATTGTGCATTTGTGTCCATTGGAAAGGAAAACATGGTAGTCTGTAAGACTGAAGGCTCTGAAGGCAGCATGAGGACTGGAGAAGCATCTAAACTCAGGGAACTCCGACTTCAAACTTTGTTCTAATAAGCAAAGCACTGTTGGATTGATTCCTGGTGTTTTTCTGAAATCCGAGTGTTTTCGGAGGTGATGCTTACAGATGCTCATCTGGAGGGATGCTGAGCGTGTGGAAGGTGAGGAATGGGAGTGCTTGTAGTACAGTATCACCTCTGAAATTATTGGATCAGTCCTGGTGGTAGAGCAATAAAAATAAAGGCAAATGGTAAAAGGTACATGGTAAATAAAGGCGAGGTAAAATGGTGTCGGAACACATTTCTCTGTTGAGTATAAGTTTTAGTCCAACAATTTATGTCTCAATAAATGTTACACAGGACTCATGATCATTATGACTTTAAACACAAGAGACCATCTTTCTAAATGGCATTTTTTTTTCCTCCAGTGTGCATTGGAGGCTTTCCCACTTACTATCAGAGTGATGGATTCTCATATAACATTGTTTTTCAAAGTCTCCATGGTTTGGTGCAAATGACTTTTTTCCCCAAGGAAAAGAAATTCAGCCCTTTGAATATACAAGGATAGAATTGCCTTTTTTTTTAAAGATGAAAAACATGAAAACGTGAGAACATATTCAAAGGCAGTTTGTAAGATGAATTGGTTTCATGAGGCAGTGGTTACACAGATGAACAGTGAGGAGAGAGAGAAGGATGGGAGGGACTCCGGTATCCACAGTTGCATCAACTGTTAACTCAGCTCTCTGGGTTCCCACAGAATCTCTGTACTCTAGATCTCAACAGTATTTATTCCCTGATATTTACTTCACAGGAATGCTGTAAAGGTGAGGGCACTACTTGAAGTATCAAAGGACACCCTTTATTCTTTGTTAATGGTGGGTAGGATAACTCAGACCTATAATTCTACTAAAATAACCAATGAAATTTATGTGACATTAAAAAAATTCTGGAAAGCAACAATGAACTAACAACTCGGTAGGAACCTCAGGAGGAGAGAGTGATGCTCAGGACTTTTGTTGACCAAAGGGCAAGTAGAAATTTGTTGCACGAATCCTAATTGGTCTTATAATATCAGGGTGAAAGCTGAAAGATCAGAGAAGCAGAGCAAGCCACAGCCACCACCTCTTACCTCACCAACTCCTCAGCCTGAAAGAGCCCAAGTTCCTGTATCCTCCTACTTTATATTCCTTTCTCTGCCTGGCCATATCATTTTCTGTTTCAACCTTCCTAGTGCTAAGATTAAAGGTGTGTGATCCCAAGTGCTGGAATTAAATGTGTGTGCCCCCACTGCCTGGCTCTGTTTCTCTTTTAGACTGGATTAATCTCGTGTAGTCCAGTGTGGCCTTGAACTCACAGAAATGCAGACGGATCTCTGCCTCTGCCTACCGAGTGCTAGGATTAGAGGTGTGTGCCACCACTGCCTGGCCTCTATGTTTAATCCAGTGGCTGTTCTGTCCTCTGATCTTCAGGCAACCTTTATTTGCTAAGAGCACAAACAGAAATCTGTAGCAAGTTTTCTTGTCAGATTATCTTTGGACCACCAGGCTACAAATCACAACATGGAGATTTATTATTAATTATGAAAGCTTGGCCTTAGCTTAGGCTTTTTTTTCTAACTAGCTCTTATAACTTAATTAACTTGCCTCTATTAATCTATGTTCTGTCATGTGGTTTGGTTACCACTTCTTAGTACAGCATGTCCGACTTGCTTCAAGTCTGCTGGTGAAATCACATGCCCAGATTCCTCCTCCCAGTTTTTCTTACTCTGCCTTGAAGTCTTGCCTATACCTTCTGCCTAGATATTGTCCATTCAGCTTTTTATTACATCAATCACAGCAACACATCTTCACACGGTGTACAGATATCCCACATCTTCCACTTTTTGTCTAAATAAAAAGAAAAGGCTTTAACTCTAAGACAGTAAAACTATATACAATAAGAACAATTATTAGGTAAGAATTACATTCACAATGTTTAGTCCATACGTATTTGGCAAATTTGGAGAGTACTGTATTAACTGTTCTATCTCAGTGAGTCCAAAGTTTTATACCTAAACAATTTTCTATCATATTTTGTATTACCATTCTAAAAGAATATCATTTTAGACCTTAAAACATTTTTTTAGATAAACAACATAAGCTTTTATGTTTCTCAACCTTATACACTTTAAAATCTCTTATGTAAGTTTTTTTAAATTTGGTAACAAGGGAAATTGTAAAACTATAACTACCTCATCTTCAACTCTATTAGAGACCAGAGAAGGATGTAATATTACTTGAGTAAACAGGAAGTGCAAAACAAGCAACTTCTAAAGCTATAGACATGACAAAGGTATCTGGCTGCCTGGACAGTCACCCAAGGTTCCTCTGCAACATTGGGGCATCCATCTTTGGCTAGAATATCTGACAGAATTTTCTGTGAAGCAAAATTTTGAAGGACTGTCCTACCCTGTCTTGGCAAAGTTTGGCAGTTGCCTTCTTTTGTGTCCTTCTTGTCCAATTTGGACAGCAGTCAAGGCAAGGGCAGTTTCTTGCCCAAAATGACTGGCTTTGCCACATAGAAAGCAGACTTCATACGGAGGTTCTTTGATTCCCGTCATCCCTTTCTGAAGTAAATTTGTGCTGCCAGGAGCAGACGTGTCTCACTGTCATGAAAATCCTTATGTTAGTAAAACATCTTAAATGCCATACTCTGTAGGTCTTTGAAGTGTTTGAAGATTACCTATCTATCTAAAATATATCTCTGTTTGACCTTGAAAACATACCTAACATGACTATAAGTTTGATTGCTATAGATGACTATTAACTTACATTTCTTAATTATCCTAAATTGTTTATAATAATAGCTTTTAAGGACTAGAAATTTACATCACATTGTCAAATGAGCTGTATAGATACAATACCTTGAACAAGAGCAGAAACATATACAATATAACAAAAAATAACCTTAAATTTGTATCAATATACAAAAATCCATACCAGTGTAAAATATTAAAGACTAGTAGTTGCATTTTTAGTTTAAAAGTAGATTCAATAATCTATTCTTTTATCCAATCACTTCTATATCCCCTCTTTTCTTTTCAGAATGAGATTCCTGAATCTAATCTCCTTTGCTCAGCTTTCTCTCTGATTATGATGAACAACAACTTGTAACCAACCACCCTAAATGATGATAAGCATCCATAATACATTAAATGACCAAAAACCATCCATCCCACCTTTTGGGAATGTGAGTGTTGTGTTCTTTAGAATGCTTCCTGGTATCTGGGGGTGACAGTGTCTCTAGGGGGCTCTGAGAAAATTGGGATAATGACCAAATCCTGGGAGAGTTAGCTGTATTAATTTTTTTTAGTCTCTGTGATGGAAAAGTACAGAGCTTATCTGAAGTCCTTACTGGAGTAGTCGATGAGGCTAGACCATCTCAGCTAGCAGCTTTGAAGTTGTTTTTGATGTAGAATTTTGAGGAAACTACAACAGAGGCATTCTGAGGGTCTGGGTCACCTGGGCTACTTATCTTCATTGGTGTCTGGTCCTTTTTGTTTCTGAAAACACATAAACTTTTAAGGCAACATATGTATCTGTATTAATACAAATATGGAATGTGTGGTATGCACAAGTCAGCTATGATGATTTTTTTGATTTATATTTGAACAGGTAAAAGTCATCTTTTAACTTTATAAGTCTGTTTGGACTGTATAACCAAACCTCCATCCATGCCATATGAAAGGATGACATGTAATAATAAGTCACGAGGGCTCTGTAGCCAACAAAATTTATCATGTTTCATCCAGTCTCAGAGCTGCTCTCATGTTGAGGGATCAGCATACATGTAACCTGTCTCCTGTCTTGTAGTTTTTCTTTTTTTTAAAATGTTTGTAGCCAAGATTTTCAGGAGGTCTCCCCCAATCAAATCTGGTCTTCATTAATTTTGAAGAGAACCATAACTTTTTGTTTCCTGTGGAAACAAAGGCATAACTTTTCCCCCAACACAACATATTTTCTGACTTCCATTCTGAAGTTAAGACATTCTTAAAATATATAGTTTGGTTTAATTTAGCAGCTTCCATAGTCCAATATCTCTCAGTAGCTATTGTTTTTTTGTTCATTAGGATTAAAAAAATTTGAAGTCAACAAAGCACCATACAGGATCCAGACACCTTGTGTATTTCCCATCTTTACTTGGCCTTTTCCGTTTATATTGCTTTACTCTTTCTTTAAAGACTTGACTTTATTTTTTTAATCTATTTTTTATGGCAATCATCTATACCCATTTTCTTTTCTTTCTTTAGCATCTAAGACATTTTAAAGCCTACTATATCTGTTAGGAGGTTTTTCTCAGGCTAGACTTGACGTTTTGCATGTCTGCAGCCTTCTCTGACCATGTGAGCCAAACCTTAAATTGCTAAGCGGTGGCTAGTCCCTCCTCTGCTTGGCTCTGCTTATCACATGGCCTGGCAGCTGGCTTCCCCCACTTTGGGTCAGTGAGAGTGGAGTCTCATGCCTGCAGGCCCTGGTCTGAAGCCAGTCTATCTGTCCCAGCTCTGGTAGGCACTTCCACCTAGTCTTCTGCCACCAAGAAGTACACTGCTTGCTGCTCATAAATCCCATTCAAGTGCTCAGTGGCAGGTCTTCTTAAAAGAGCCATGCCTCTGTATACTGCGAGCACCAAGCTGACTCAGAATCTTTTTCCCCCCAGCTTTTTCAGGCCCTATGTGGATTTATGTGGCCCATGTTTGGTGCCAAATGTAGCAAGCTTTCTTGTTGGAACTATCTTTGGACCACCAGCCTGCAAGTAATGACATGTGGACTTACTATTAATTATGAACTTAAGGCCATCCTTGGCACATAGTTCAAGAACCTGCATGGGCTAAATGAGTGTCTGCTTCAAAAATAATTTTTTTAATAAATAATTTTTTAAATTTATTTATTTATTTAGTGTGTGGGGACACATGCCATAGTGCCTATGTAGAGGTCAGAGAACAACTTGTAGGAGTCAGCTCTCTTTTTCTACCACATGGGTCTTGGGAATTGAACTCAGGTCATCAGATTTGGTGGCAAGCACCTTTACCTGCTGAGCCGTCTTGCTGGCCCCTCTGTAAGCAGTTTTAAAAGCATAACCTCAAGCACACAGTAAAACAGACATCACGAAACAGTGGGCACTTGAGGTGCTAACTCACCTGAAAATGAATCAGTGAAAAGAAGAAGCAGTGGAAACACAGTCAGGAAGGTTCCAGACAGAGGGACAGTGGTGAGCGGCTGTGCAGAAACCATACTCCATACTTTCAGGGACAGAGGAGACAAGTGCGAGGAAGTTAGCAGAGTATTTGGAACCACGAAAAGTGACACATTAGATTCAAGCAAGACCAAAGCAACACTGTAGAATTTGCAAACACATTAACTTAGCGGATCATTTCAACAGCTTACGGTTTATGCAGCCTTTTCACAAGACACAGTGGAAGAAGAGTTAGTGAACTTGAAGGGTTGTTCAGAAGGAAACATACAAAGAACACACAATGGCAAAAGGTAACAACAAATGGTAGGCGTATAGAAGACAGTGAGAAGCTTTTATGTTTGTTCACTTGGATATTCCGGAGGAGTCTTGGACATAACTGACGTTTATTAAAAAATAGTGGCTGAGAATTTTCCCCTAAGGCATCAGAATCTACAGATTTAAAAGCTCCAGGAATTCTAGTAGAAACAAGTGAAAAGTGTTACAGTGAAACTGTAAACAATTACACCCTGAGAGGTATCAGAGAGAAAACAAAGATTGCTTGAAAAATGTCCAGGTGGAGGGTGTAGCTCAATGGACCACACTTGCCTAGCTTGTGTGAGGCCGTGGGTTTGATCTCGTTATGAAAACGTCATAAAATAAATCACAGAAATAAAAAGCAAAAATAGTAGTAGTGGGGAAGTAGCAGGAGGCCTTCAGCACACCATCTCCAGCCGAGTAGAAGAAATAATTGCTAACACTGACCGTCACCCTCAGTAGGAAGATTCTCAAGGAGGTGAAATGCAGGCTGTGTAGACAACCAACCAGGGGTTTACTGCCAGAAGGATTCAGTGAGAGGACAGTGAAGACCGTTCTTCAGGCAGAGAAAAAAGAGTTCTAAGTGGTAGGTTAGGGATTGAGGAGAAAAGAAGAGCAAAGGAAATGAGCTAGCAGTAAAGCCAAGAGAACCCCAAGTTTATAAAACAACCAACATCTTATGGGGTGTGTGTGTGTGTGTGTGTGTGTGTGTGTGTGTGTGTGTGTGTGTGTGCATGTGTGCATGTGTGCAGGTGCATGTCGGCATGTATGTATGCATGTATGTGTGTGTTCATGTGTGTGCTCGCATGTGTGCATATGTGTGTGTTTGCATGTGGGCACTATCAGAATGTTGGATTTATCACTAAACTATGATAAGTTAAATATCCAAGATGACTATCAAAATACAGTGAAAATGTAAAAAATTTCAAATAAATATGGAATGATAAAAATCTCACTCCAAGGGAAGACAAGAAAAGAGAAAGAGCAGGAAGTGGGTGCAGCAAACAGTTTGCTATAAAATGGTTTAAAGCTAAATTTATCACCAATTAAATGTAATAGCTTGCAGACTCCATTAAAAAAATCAAAGACTTTCATTCTTGATTAAAACTCAGTTAAATGATGCTCTGTTCTCAAGGCCCGTGCTAAAAAATGAGGATAAAAATGTTTGAGAATAAAGATCAGAAGGAGTTATACCGGGTAATCAGCAGCCAAAAAAAAAAAAAAAAAAAAAAAGCTGGCTAAAATACATTGATTTTAAGGCAAAAAGTTGCTTAAATTAAACAAGTCATTTCTCACTGTTATGGAGTCAGTGGATCTCTCAGCAACCAAGAGAAGAAGTGGGCAACATTTAAACAAGACTAAAAAATATTGAGAAAGATGCCTGAACCAGACCAAGTAGAGATGCTCGCCTAGACATATTAAGAGACAGAGAACACGTCTGCAATGCTCACGTTGAGCACTGCACAACTCTATCATACCCTGGGTGCTGAAGCAAACGCCGACAATTTCAAAGGATTCAAACGACAGAAGGTCTAATGTGACCAAGTTCAACAACAGAAGGTAACTTGATAGTCACCATGTGTTTAACAGTTAAGAGGGAGAGACAGTTGTCACTAAGTGTGTGGTCCCTGGTGTGCCAGTCACGCTACAGTGGCTAGCTCCTCACCCAGGACTATATGGACAGCACAACTGAACTCCTTGTGGTATTAAAAACAAACAAACAAATCATGAAATTGAGGAGGGTAGGGAAGTGGGGTAGATTTTGGAGGGGTTGGAGAAGGAATGGGGGTTGAATATGATAAAAACACATTGTACGCAATTCTCAAAATAAATAAAATATTTGAAAAAGGAAATACATCTCAATAGAACGTAACCAAAGAATAAAGCTTAACCAAAATTCTACAATATCAAAATGCACAGAATGTTGTACTTTAGGGGATATTTTCACTTTAGAATGATGTTTAAAAAAAAGGGATACGATATAAAAAAAAAAAGTCATTGGGCTGTTTTCTTCTGAAGCACCTGGAAAGCTAAACACAAAACAAACACAAAAAAGTTAGAAGAATGGAGGAAACACAAGAATACCAATCAATGAAACAAAGGGGGACGCCAACAAAGCTAAAAGTTCTGCTTTGTTTTTTGAAAAGTCAAAGGAAAGGGTAAACCATGATTGAAACCGATCAATTAAACCATGAAACAGGAAGCACAAACAGCCAGGGTAAACCATGATTGAAACCGATCAATTAAACCATGAAACAGGAAGCACAAATGGCCAGCACTGGACATGGCAGAGAGCGATGCCTGGTGAGGCTTAGCAGATATGGGACACATTGGAGGAAGAGTTGTCTTGGGCCACACATGAAGGGTATGGGTGAGTGGGGAGGAGGTGAAGGGAGGGGCCATCTCCATCCCACGTGGACAGAGCAGTCTACTTGAAGGGCCAGGGCTGAGGCCAGGGTCTGACTCCTGCCAGAGCAGCTGGCGAGAAGGATGTCTGTAGGGGACAGTGGGGCAGGGTCTGGAGTAGCCAGCAGGGTCCTGCTTGGGAAGCGAGAGCTGAGAAATTCGGATTCTATCATGAGGGCCAAGAGCAACCTCAGGAGAATGCTGGGGTGGGGGAAGGAGAGGACATGACAGACTCATCCTTTAGGCTACAAATTTGGAGACAGTCAG